CCTCCGGCACTCAAAGCTATCCCTGGCTTTTCACACAGCTGATCTAGGAGCTATGCGATATATTACCCAACACGAGAACCAAGGAAGCCGAGCACACCACGTGGCAATCCTTTAAGACAAGAAAGAATTCTTGGATCATCTGCATTTTTGTTGGAGTAGTCTAACAACGGACATTGTAAGTAACAAAATTATCTTTTGCAATTTTTTTATTTACTTTTTGTTTTTGTTTTTGTTTTTCAGGCATGCACTGAGGTAAGCTTGCCTGCAGGCTCAAATAACAAGACAGACATGTTTCCAGCTTTACCCTTCACCCCTGAAATGAGAGCAAAATATTGCCAGGATAAATGGGGTGTGGCTGAGCGATCCAACTGGCCCATCATTCAGTTCTGGGGGAAAGGTGAGTTACACTGAAACTTTGATGTTGCTTATTTTTAACCTGGCATGAAGATCATATTTTATAGTTTGTTGTGTGTCCCACCTCATTCCGACTAAATTTTCACTCCAGGTAAATTACTTACAAAGTTAATGTAGTCTTATTTCTTCCCACCAGATATATCTTCTGCTTCCAACATTATCTTCTCCAACGGTGACTTAGATCCTTGGAGGCCAGGAGGGGTATGTTAAACGTAGCGGCTACAACTCTAGTCTCCCTCGCAGCCGTTTTTGTTCCGTCACGCAACGCTTCTTGACGAGACAGAGACCTTCTGCGAGGGAGACTGCTGTAACTCAACAATGTATTCAGTAAACTGGTGTAGATTTCTCTTTCACATACGTTTGAGCAACTGTTGCCACATTGAGATAGTAGATCCTGTGGCTAATTCTTTATTACCAGCTAGCGTTGACCAAATTTGGAAGACGTTTGCTATATTTGGAAAATGACGTCAATAGTACAGCATAAATGCCAGAAAAATGGACCCCCTGTTAGAGCAGTACAATATGGCAGAACATTTCACACGTTTCATGAAGAAGAAATAGCCGAACTATTCAGCCTAAAAACATAGCAAGAACAGCAAGAATACAACTCGATGGATGACATCGGCTATTTAGAGAAAATCTGCGGGACTAAACATGTCTTTATATCATGAACTTGCCAAGAAACATGCAAATGATTATTTTCTGTTCTTTTTAGGTTCTTGAAGATGTTTCCCCAACGCTTGTTGCACTTCCGGTCAAGGGTGGAGCCCATCATCTTGACTTGAGGTATTTTCTGTACAATTGTTGCTTTGCTTACCCAATAAATCTCTGAAGTGTGAGTTTTTAATCATTTTAGAGAAGGCATTAGACACCATAAGATCTGAATGCAGGGATTTATTTTGTAATTTCAGTCCAGTCACAACTCTTGAAAGTTTGCTCTCTTCTCTGTAGCTCAAGAGCACGAGATAATGATTGGCGTTCCATTGCGAAGCGAATCTATAAAGCACAGATTGGGTAAAAATCCCTTCTTGCGTTGAATATTCTGTCGACTATTCTGTCCCTATTTTAGAAGGCGGTGACATCACAACCTGCTGATAGCATACCGTAATATGCTATACACTGAGGCAATCCATGCATTATTGCAGAAGCGAGTGTGGACACTGTCCATGCCTACAGTGTTGTGCCCTTGAGTGAAATAACCTAAACTGCATTACACTATTAAGGAATATTAAAGCACAATGCAAATTACGATACAACTTTTCTGAAGTCCTGTGAGCAGAGGCTCCAACTTAAAGCTTGAGTTGACAAAATACAGTTTTTTTCGGTGAAATTATCCAGAGCCTTGATCTCGTACTATTATTATTGTGCGTTCAGTGGAACGGAATGTGGGAAGAGTCTGTTTCACCAGTTTTGCATTTTTTTTTTACATAGTCGTTATTTTTATTTAGGGCATCCAACCCTCAGGACCCACCAACCGTCACACAAGCCCGTGAACAAGAACTGCAACTAATTCGCAAGTTCATAGAGTAGACCAACTTATTTTAAAAAAGTAACGCTGTGTTTGCATCTTAATCATGATGGAATGCCATGATAGGTCTTTTGTAATCTTTTCCAAATTAGTGCAAAGCAAATAACTTAAGAGACAGGTTACCTGCAATCTGTCTTTAAAAAATATAAATTTACATTTATGATGTAATTATGAAGTGGAATTTTTATAACTGTTTTTAATAAAATTGACCAAGTTTATTTGTAATTTGTTTGTCCAAATTAGTCTTATTTTCATGAAAACAATGAACAGATTTCATCGCAGAACTTGAGACCTAGTTATTCGCTTTCATAGCATTAAATTTTCTAGTATTTAGGAATCAACCGCAATGTGTGCTAATTAACAATTATTCCTCGAGTCCGAATGGGCTCTGAGTCAATAGTCCATGAGGCCGAAGGCCGAATGGGTTATTGACACAGAGGCCATGAGTTGGTCAAACTAGTTGGTCAAAACATCGAGACAAAAAAACTTTAGCTAGCAAAACGCGATCCAGCCGCCATTGTTTTGGTTTTCAAAGCCGGCGCTTTTCGCGACTTGTGGGCTATAACCTATAGCCTAGTAGTAGCTTAACCAATCAGAACGCAGCATTGATAATAGACCACTAGTTGGATTTTACTAATATTAAAGATGGCGACCTGGCACCATCCTAGTCAAGAATTGGCGGCTCTGCAAGGCCACCTAAGTTAGTGAGCTCAGTTGACGTAATTATGTGTGAAAACTGTATTTGGACAAAAAAACAAATAGGTAATTCAATACTGGTCAGGTCTTAACTGACTATAACACGACACGCTGCATTAAATCTTATTTGTCAGTTGATGAAGTTGGAGATATCCAGCGGTAGCGGATGGTTAGTCTTCTGCACCGTTTATTCTAGCTTACGTATGCTGCAATCTTTCACACAATACATTGATTAACGACGAAATAGTTTGTTGTCGTTATCATAATGGCTCCGTTCTGTTTTTGTTTTACTCCTGACGTTAACTGGGAAACGCAGAAAATCTGATTTGTTATCACCATAAAATTTTACAGAGAGTATATCTCAACATTGTACTCCAAACAGCGGTTTTTAGACCCGAGAGTCGAGGGTCTCTCCCACTCTTCTCAGTTTAGAAAAGTGTGATATTGTCCGTGCAAAACTCGTTAATTGAAGCAACAGCCCTTGGGCTGAGATGCGTTAACCATACAACAGGTCATTTTCCTTTCCTTCACTCTAGTTAGAAGATCTGTGTGATTTCCGTTTCAGGAGCCCAGTATCGGTGAGTTCAGTACAGAAATGCATGCCAAAATGCAGTTTCGTGCACCTTATTGTAGACATCAGAAAGTGATCATAAGTGGTTGGGAGAAGAACTATGTATAATAAAAGAGTTTTAAGTCTTCCACTAAGCTCAACAGTATTTCCTCTTAAAAGAATCTTTGAACACCAACGATATTCAAATTGTGTTCGACATACCAAATTGTTAGAAGTAAAAAAACATAGTGTTCTTATCGAACGCGCATGATCTCCTTCTGTTCTGGAATCATATTCTTGCAGGGCCCATGGAGTGATGTGGCTTTAATGTCTTAATTGCAAGGGCTTCGACTTGTAATAACGAAGGAGGACGACTTGATTGTTATTTATGTCAAAGAGCTGTAAGTATTTATCTGTGAGCAACACCCTGGCCTACTGTGGGACCGTAAGACAAACGAAAGCCCGAAGATAGCTTTTGGGTGTCTGTATTATCAGTCCCTCGAATGTGTCGGGGGTCATCTCAGTCATCTGCTTGAACCATCGGGACTAGCTCATCCGTGCCGAAAGTTAAGTCCGACATCCTTTTTAGATCTCTTTACTGCTGCATTACGAAACTGTATACTTCCTTCTCAATTTAAACTGTGAAGTGTTCTGAATCTGTCCGTCTGTCTGTCTCAGCTGGGTAATGAAGCGTCATCAGTATGGATTTCTGCACTCGTTTCTCGTTTTTCGACTTAATTTCTTCGCTGGGAAACCAGTGGTGTCGTCGTGAAATGGCTGTTTTCTGAAGGCTGGTTTTCACTAGCGACGGAGTCGTTGTCGGAGTCGTAAGAGCGCTTATGACCCAGTGAAAATCAAAAATCGGAGTCATCAGCGCGACTTAATCGGAGTCAGAAGAATCAGAACGTTTCCATTTTTTGCGACTCCGTTAACGACTCCCGTCGCTTGAGTTCCGCTTATGATCTAGTGAAAACCAGATTGTCGGAGTCGGAAGCAGAAGCGGAAGGTTAAACCAATCACAATGCACGTTCCCACGCTTTGTGATTGGTTACTTCTTCCGCTTCTGCTTCCGACTCCGACAATCTGGTTTTCACTAGATCATAAGCGGTACGCTTCTGATTACGACTACGACTCCAACTCCAACTCCGACTCCGACTCCGTCGCTAGTGAAAAGCAGCCTTTAATTTAAGGCTACCTCTTTGTTGACCCAATGCATCTTGCACATCTGTCATTTTTTCAATCGGCTGTGATTGATATTGATAATTGGTGACAACAAGTCACAATTGAATAACGTACAGGCCGGCATAATAGCATGTCAAACAGACATAATTTGTTGTAAATTGAATGGGAAGCAGTCAGAATTGAATGGCAAAACACGAAAAGACCGTGTGGGTCCTTGTGGTCTGCTGACCTCGAAATACCTTAAATTCGTTGTAACATGGATCACATATTCTTCGTTTCACTTGTTTTCGCTTTCTTCTCTTTTGCTGCTGCCATTATTCCTCAGTACAGCATTGCATATTTTGAGCAGAAAATTGATCACTTCAACTTCGTCCAAGACGCAACATTTTCACAACGGTATTTGTACACAGGTAAGCTAAATTCCGAGGCAACTTAAAACTACAGCAGAGCAGGTAAGTTTCAGGAATCTTATAGTGACCATCCTTTGAATGAGATGTCTTTGTAAGTACAGCCAACTCTCTAAGAAGGATACCTCTTGGACTGGCATTAAGTGTCCGTCTTGGAGTGCTGCTCGTTCAGTAATACAGAGTCTATAAAGAAAGTAAAGAGAGCAAGGGACCAACTCTAGGTGTCCATGTTACCGAGATGTGCGTCTTATTGAGGTGTCCGTTGTGTCGTTAAGGGAGAATCGACTGTGATTCAAAAATGTACCAAAAATTGACAGAAACATAAAAAGGTGCTTGCTTATCATTATTTTATGGCAGTAATTTGCATTCACCTGCTTGTTGTACGTCGAGCACGCTGTAAAAGAATGATGGCATATTTCATAAATTTAATAATGCAATACAGAAACATTTGTAGTACTATTGTCTGGACAAACAGGCGTGGTAGCTTGAAAATAGTTGGACTTTTTAAACTATTTTATTTCTTTAGGGGAAACAAGATAATGAATATCTGTGTGATTTTGCTAAAGGTGCCCGCTAAGTTTTTGCTTGAACACGGGCATCGCCCGTGTTCAAGCCAGTGTAGCCGGAAAAAAACCAGGGGGCTTACTGTCTTGCTAGGTGTCAGCTGAGAGCCGTGACCCAGACCTATCCGTGCGTGGGTGGCTTCCTTGTTTTGTGTGAAAACCAGGGGGGTAGGGAGGGGAGATTTTGTCACTTTGGTTAGAGTTTTATGTCAGAAAGCAGTGCAGATGGCCTAGGCCAGCCAAATCAATGCGGTGACTCATAATCATAGCATTACTAGCAGAGCTTGGGGGAAGTGATTGACTAGTCATAAGCTTCATGGGTGGGGAGGGTGCGTAGTTGCTGCTTGGACTTAACCGTCTAGAGACTCAGTACAGGCACCTTGTATGAAATCCAGACAGAGATACAAACAGTATTTTTGTAGTTTTTATCTCACCAGTGCTGAAAACATGACAGTTTTATCGTCATAACTTGATTGGTTTGTGTGACAAGTCGTCTAGGCAGTTTGACAAGACGAATGTTTTAACAAAACTTACATATGTAAAGGCGGAAAAACAAAAGTTCACTTACGCTCAAAATAGTATCTCTATTAATCGCTGTTTCACACATCAAAGATATTTTCCCTTTTAATCACAATGTTAAGGCTGTTATTAAAACGTAACGGCAAACGCAGAGCGGAAGCTGAAAGATGGGATCAACGAAGACAATGAGTGACAGCGTTACCAACAGCTTTTAATTGGTTTGTCTGTGCTGAATGTTTTGGCCCTCTACAGTTCTTCCTCGGGCACTGAAAAGTGAACATGGTATCTTTTCATGAATTCTCTTACTTCATTTAAACTTATATTGAAATATGCATTTATGAGCAAAATGTCACAAACTTTGCAAAGTACCATATGTTTAAATCGATCCCGGCGCAAGAAACCTGTATGGCCTAGAAACGTACTCATGAAGAATATGCTCAGAGGGTCGGAGAGAAGCAGGTGAATTGGTTTGATTTTCGGCTAGTTAAGATTCTTACATGCTATGTTTTATATTTCAATTGTTTCTGTCACTATTTGTGCCCCTATAATGTCAAATTTTCCCTTCTCTTACTTTGCCTAAAGTGAAAAAAAACGAACTTTCCTGTTGTGGTTTTAGCGGAGCGTCCGCACGCGCAGAGTCCTATAGCTATAGAAAATGTAGCCTGCGTGGCAGGCGTAAAAAGAGGAGGGGGAGGGGGAGGGGGGATCGAGAAAGGGAAAAGAGAAAGGAGCCCTCTCTCCCTCCAATCCCCCTCCCCTTTTTCCGTCCCTCCCTATCCCCTACCCCTTTCGACGCCTGCTACGCAGGCTATAGAAGATGGGAACCGTACCTATCGCTGCGAGGAAACTTGTTATGACGTTAGCGTACACCGTCCGTACAGGCTCCGGGGGTAGGGAAAAAAACTCAGTAGGGTAGGAAAGCGGAATCCCAGACACGTACATTGCGTTTCGTTTTGGCGCAAAATTTACTATTTTAGGGCAACCAACGGAATGCACGAGTAAAAATTTAGATTGAAGTTTCTTGTGTTCCACTTCTGAAAAAATTTCGGAAATAAATTTCTCTAAGGCTTTACTTAAGTTAGGCTGGGTAACCTGCCACATGCTACCTCATCTACATGGGGTCCCCCACCTTCATGTAAACAGGTCCTAACTCACATTGTTCATTCTCGCCGAAAAGCAAGTACATAAAAGATTTGTCAATCATTTTACCGACTGACTCGTAACTTTGCCAAAATGACTTCGTCTTTTTGGAATACATTAGATATTATTATTACGTTTATAATTTGTAGTTCAAATCAAATAAAATCAATCAAATCAATAACTTTATTTAATCACGGAATCCTTTTCACTAAAAAGTGCTCTCCCAAGGAGCCATGCACTTTAACAATAAGTTACACATATTTAATAATTTATAATACTGAACCTATGTCATTACAATTATAAAAATTACCTAATTTTACATTAATTAAATTAAGAAAATTATTTAAACTAGTGGTCTGCTTAGCCTCGACCGACAGACTATTCCATAAGACAGCACCCCTATACCAGAAACACTTCTTAAATGCGTCAGTGTATGGTCTCGGAACTAAGAGATTGTGTTGCGAGCCCCGCAGATTTTGTCTCTGAATGGAATTGGTGTAGGCAAATTTCTCTGATATACATTCGGGTACTTATCTGTTCACTGTTTTGAACATGAACGTTTTTAATTGGTTTGCTCGCCTGACGGAGAGGCTCATCCAACTGAGATCACGAAGGATCTGGGGTGATCTAACATCCAAGCCGGGCCAGGTATTATACGTGCTGCTCTGTTTTGTATTTACTCAAGTCTTTGACTAAGACCAGTGCCAATATTTCCCCAGACAACACTACAATAATCAAGATGAAGCAGAATCAATGATTTGTAAACTGGGACAAGAATCCCCTGGGGACAAATTGGTTTCAGTCTCCTCAGGGCAGCAAGTGCATTTGCGACTTTACCACTGAGTTCCCCAAAAAAGTGTTTTATCCACCCACATGCCTAGGCTTTTTTTAGGTACTGGCATCTTTCTATTGATTGACCATCAAGACAAATATCTGTTTCACTAGGGAGCAGAGAAATTTTGTGTCGGATCCCCTTGAACAGACACTTGGTCATGAGAACATTCAGACTAAAGCGACTCGAGTCGAGCCATTGTTTCAGATTGGCAAGGTCATGAGTGAGGGATGAAAACAAATCATCACGGTTTTTAGAAGAATAAGTGAGATTAGTGTCATCAGCATACATCCTGACATCTGACAGAAGGTTACAGTTTGGCAAGTCATTATTGATATATATTAAGAATACAAGGGGGCCAAGGATAGAACCCTGAGGCACTCCACAATGTATAAAGCTAGCATCAGAATCGACATTGTTTATCACTGAATCTGAGTTCTAGGTCTAACGCACATTTAGTACACAACACGCAAAAAGCAGTTTGTGTAGACTGCAAGATTATGGTTATTCATTGAGGGATATGTTAAATGTATTATCAACCTTCCTGGGTCTTTTCGCCACAGGAAACAAAAAGTATAACTTACAGTAAAGGTTACTGAGTATGATATTGTGATGTACATGTATTTATCTAAAGGGTAATTTGCACGTAACGGTTTGTCAGTCCGATTTTGCAAAGAAAACATATTCTAAACACAAAAATCGTCCAATTTGCCTTTTGGGTAGAATCCCTTTAAGACGGAAAGATTCACTTATAAACATAAACTGTGAACTGGACGCAGCCAAAGACTTTCGAGAATGACAACCAGCCTTTATAAAACATGCAAATTTCATGGGCTATTAGCTTCTCAAAGGGGTGTGGTTTGTGGGGGGGGGGGGGGGGGGGGGGGCAGTGATGCAGACGTATGGGTAAGAATTCTTTTCCAAGACTATTTCCGTGATCGATTTTGATTTATAATATTATCTTTTTGTCTTACAATCAGTTTAAGTATAAATTTCTGGATTTCTTTGCATAGGTTGAAGCTTCTTCGTTTTAATTTTGGAGTTTTTCAAAAGTAACTCAAGTATATAAAATGGACGCTTCGCGTTTAGCCTTAGCTAAATCTATATATTATTTTAAGTCTGTGTATATTTCTTTGTAGATCAATACTGGAATAACAACGGGCCTATTTTCTTTTACACTGGTAATGAAGGCTCTATCACTGACTTTTGGAAAGATTCTGGCTTTGTTTTTGAAGCAGCTGAGCAGTTTAATGCGTTAGTCATATTTGCCGAACATGTAAGTTTGAACTTTCACAGTATCAGTGATACTGTGTATGTACTCTCTTTCCCAGGGTCCTCTCTCCTCCTCCCGTGAGAAAGGATTGAATACCAAAGGCTTTATCAGTCTAGAATTGGCTTAGGGTATGGATGCTGTGGTATGATACCATGTGACGATAATGTAAAAAAATAAGAAACCAATAATTAGCAATTATTGGATGTGGTTGAGCAAAATATCGTGATTTGTCAGTGGCCAGCAGATCAATTAGCCGAAGGCTGAGGCAAATAATTGATCTGCGAGACACTGAAAAATCACGGTATTTTGCGATAACCGAGTTCAATAATTGTTTTATCATTCTATCACCAAGTTTGTTTTTTAATAAATATCTTCGGGAAGCGAAACGATCTTCCATTCTTGACGAAAGAGCAATTGCAAGAAGGAGAAAAGCGTGGTTTCGTTTACGCATGAGCAGAATATTACTTTCAGCCAAACACTTAAAGCCAAACACAGTTGGACTCATTGCGCATGAGCACACCATTATTTGTAGGGAGTTATTTGCAGGTCACGTGGTGCGCGTTCGGCCAATGCAAAGGAAGAAAAATTTGTATCGAATGATAATAACATTTATCACACACAACACGGATTTTTTGCAAGCTAGAGATGGGTAGAATAGCATGTTATCCATATAAACATCTGTGAAATTTTTCAAATCGTATTTCTTTGCAACTTAGCGTCAGTTCCCTATAAACAGATACTTTTACCGTACCCTTCAGTTGTCTGAGGCCATAAGAAAGAAAGTTAACGTCCCGTTTTCTACGTGTATATGTCATTTCCTTGATTATGATGTGTATTTTTTAACTTTAAAGCGATACTATGGGGAATCTCTTCCATTTGGCAGTGAATCATTTGAGCATGACAAGATTGGTTACCTTGCAGTAGAACAAACCATGGCAGACTATGCTGTACTGATAACAGAACTGAAGGTTCATCTTAATGCAACGAAGAACAAAGTCGTAGCCTTTGGTGGAAGGTGAAAAATGCTTCTAGTAAATTCCATAATTCACTCTTGTTGTGCAATCTTCCACACACATTAAGTCGTCCCTGTGTGTTATGTTTCGTTGCCGATGTACCCTATTAATTATAAAAATGATCTTTAAAGCGTTCAAGAGGGCTCTGTCCATCATCGGTCCCAGTTGAAGTTTTCGTAGCACGTTGCCTTAGAAAGCTTGCCCGGGAATAGAGCCTTTGACAGACTTATATAGGGCTAATGTAAACTCCTTAATTTTTAATGGAATTCTGAAAAAATAAGGTGCATCATTTGCATAGTTACACTCTTGTTTAGGCAAATCCGCACCTTCGATGTAGGGTGAAGCCAACCAAAGAAACACCCTAAATTACCTGCATCTCGTAAGCCATCGAATAAGTTGAAATAATGAATATATGCAAGTGATATATTTCACGAAGAATTAAATGTAATGTAAAGAATATCTTCACTTTTGGAAGCAACTTTTGCAGTTACGAAAAGAAAGCCTGAAAAGATTCAGGCTTTCTTCTTCGAGGTTGCTTCTAAAGCGGCGATTAATTTCTTTGCATTTGATTCTTCGTCCGCATTTCAAATATGTAATTTTTATTTACACATGATTATTTCATCTTTAGTCTTTATTTCGGATTTACAGCTTTATTGGTAAGCGTTGGTAGAGCGCTTCACCGTTATCGTAGAGTTCAAAATTCGAATTCTCGTACAAACCTGTGAATATTTTCAGACTTTCTTTTTGCCACTGCAAGAGTTATGTGTTTAGTTGAATCACCAATCACCCAGATATCTCCCCATGAAATTTTCGCACTTCATCGACTCAACAAGATATGTTTAGAACGAAATGAGGTTGTGGAAATGGTGCATGTTCCCCAAACGTAAAAAGGTTTATCCTTTATTAGAGTCTAAAAGGTAGTTGGAGAACTGTAAAGCCAAAAAGGCAATTGTGTTGAACGATAATCTTCCAGCTTTATATGATATAAGGCCTTTTTGCTGGCCGGCTTCAGGCATCTGTTAAGGCTTAATCCGTTATTAGTGTCTGTTTTCAGATCTTATATCATGTAGAAAACAACTAGAAAAGGGCCCTGTTGGTGATGATTTAAAGCAAGGGTGAAAAGCAGGAATATCTACCATGAGCTATCCTCTTTCGTTACAAGTACAATGTATTATCTGGAAACACCAAGGACATGCTAAGTCATGGCTTAATTGCATGATTGTTGTTGCTTGCCTGTTAGAAGAATGTAAGACATGATTAATGATATTCTTTCGTTAATCGAAGTCGCGACGATCGCTATATATGAAACTACGATCTTAGAGATCAAGGTGACGATCCGGCCATTCCGATCAAGTTTGACAACGTATTTAAGTCGTCTGATGAAGGTAAAGGAATCTGCCAAAAGTGTGATGCACGTTCAGAGTTTTTGTTTTTCGCTTGTTAAAGCTATTGCTTTTTATTTCCTCCTTTCCGTCGTTATCCTCGGAGAAGCTTGAGCTCGCTCGTAGCGTTACCTCCCACAATTTTTGGATATGCGACGATAGTCTTCTACAAGTGAAAAAAGCTTTCTTGTTAGCAGGAAGAATTTTGCAGTAATTTTTCCACTTCAGTTTGGTGTCTTGCATTTTTGCATTATTTTTGTCTCAGTGACTTAAGTCTAGAGGTCTAAATTTTTTATTCTATTGAAAATTAGTTATATATTTATTTATTTATTTATTTGTCGTTGAATTTTTTAAATAATTATTTTACTTCACTTTAATTTTATAACGCATTGTTTTAGTCTAAATTTATTATTTTAGTACAATTATAGACCTATTAGTCCATTAAAAATTGAATGTTTTGTCAGTTATGGTGGGGAGCTAAGCGCCTATATGAGGTTCAAATACCCAAATGTGATTGATGCAGCATTGGCAGCCAGCGCACCAATTTACATGAAGACCTTTAAAGGGAGAGAGAGGCAGTTCTTTTTCTCGGCAGTAACTCAGGTGAGGACTTTAAAACCGCCACAGTATTTAAACGGTATGTATCATTTAAAGATATTTAATAGTAAGATGTATTAAAATGATACCCTGTTAGGCATCTTGTAACATTTTTATCACAATCACTGAAACTTACTACCGATATGCACCAGATGTATTGTGCTAAACATTATTTTCGTTGAGGCATTTTTTTTTTTCAAATATCGTATTTATTCGATTAACCGCCCTGGGCGGTTATTAAATTTTTGGACCTTAAGAGTTGGCGCTCATTCGAGGCTGGGCGCTTATTAACTTTTTCTGCCTTTAGGATGGGCGCTTATTCGAGGTGGGCGCTAATTCGAGGTTGGGCGCTTATTCGAATAAATACGGTATGTCTACTCTCCAAAAAATTTCAATTTGTTAAAGTAGCCAGTCAGCAGGATATTGCTGTTTTAGACCAATTCGGTTCTGTAGTCTTTACTTAGTACCCTTACCCAAACACAAAATAATGATCCTGTAGAGCTTTGAGGAAGATATCAAACAAGTTTCACAAGGAAGCACTAGGCATAATATTTTGGGGGGGTGGGGGAGAGGATTTTTGCAGGCATAGTATTAGGTAATAGCATGATTAGTAGTGATATTTGGCATAAATACCACGAGTGATATTTCAAAATTGTTATACGTAGCTTCAGGAGCCGTTAGGCGCGTGAAATTTGAGACAATTTTGAAATATCACGAGTGGTATTTATGCCAAATATCGCGTACAAATCATGCTATTATTTGTTTATACTACTGCCCGCAAAAGGATTGTAATTTTCACATGTAGGTATTTCAAATTAAGCTGAAATACCACTGCTCTAAGCCAATCAAATTGCAGAAATTTCTCATGTTAGTAGTAACATAAAAACTGTAGCCCAGCTTTTTCAAGTTTTGCAATATGTTCAATCCTTGCCATCCGTTACACAAACGACAAGAAATAGTTTTAATACTTTTAAGTATTAAAATATCGTCTTAAATAACCAAACTGGACCATTGTTTTCGGAATTCAATTAATGCGAACACATGTTTTAGCTTTTTAAAAAGATAGCAAATAATAACGTGACAGATGACCCTTAAACACAAATTTTTTTTCTCTCGCGCACCCTTTAAAATAGACTTTGTTGGCGTGAAAAAGGTTTAAATTTTCAATTTGCGTGTCTTGTTAAAGCTTAAAAGAACATAAAAATAATGAGTTGAAGTTATAGACTGGGGAGAATTTAAGAGTTTTCGGGAGCTGTTTTGAATCGGGCGATACAGAAATACTTTTTGGACGGGGCAATTTGAATCATTTACTTTCTTAGGCTGCGTGCAAACGGACGCAACAACTCCCAACCTGCGGTGCATCGTGGGAAGGATACAACCCACAGGTCTTTGTAAACCGTGCGTACAGTAATTAGCGTGCGCGGCCCCAATAATGTTGGATCCGTTTGCATGGGTCTTCCAACATTGTTGGGACCACGCACGCTCATTACGCGTGGTTTACAAAGACTTATGGGTTGTATCCTTCCCACGATGCACTGCAGGTCCTAACATTGATGGGAGTTGTTGCATCCGTTTGCATACCACTGCCAACACGCACGCAACAACTCCCAACATTATTGGCGCAACAATGTTGGGAGTTGTTGCGTCCGTTTGCACGCAGCCTTACATACTGTGACTGAAGTACAGTGTGCTTTTGTCACAAATACAGTGTAATTGTTTCTCAGTAATTAGTTAAAGCTGCATATCAAGTATTTGTTATGTTTACGCTTTAATTCTAGGACTTTTATAAGGCTGATCCTGATTGCCCTGGTTATATTGTTACTGCATTTGAAATGCTTGTGATGCTAAAGAATCAAGGAGCAAAAGGTGCCCTTAACATATTTCTATCTTATTGCGAGTTTATGAACACCTTTTTAACAACTTAAGGCGATGTTACACGGGACGATTCGCAACCACAATTTTCCGCGCATCACAGCGTTACAATATCGTTGCTGCATTGTTCCAGCATTGATGCCCTAAAAATCAGCTCGTGAGACATTACATGTACCTTACGAATATTACAAAATTAATATGTAAACCGCGATATTTCATTAGTGTGGAACAAAGAAAAATTCTGAGACCCAACACCATTTGAGTGCATGATCAACCAGGTACTGGTGAATCGATTAATCTATCCGCTGGCATATGGAAAAAACCAATGCAGATAAAAGGGCCTTGTTACGGCTTTCTAGTTAATTAACGCGTCCTTATTCCCTATGAAAATTGAGAAATTACTTGTGAATGACAAAATCACAGATTCGTGTCAAACAAGTATGTCTTCTAGGTATTATATCTAACGTTAAAAACAACAAAAATGAACTTTTGAAAACCGTTAAGCTAACAAGTTTTCAAAAACCACAATTGCAATCCGCTTCAATCTTCTTTAAGCTTGTCCATCTGTACCTCCCCAGTTTTGTATGTGCTGTGTTAGTTATACCTTGTTTTCACGTTTTGAGCGGTTATTTGTATGTTTCACTCAATTTGGTGGCAGTTGTCGCTGTTTGAATTTGGATAAATTTCTTGACACAGCTCAAAATAGCCCAGGCAAATAATCATATTGAAAAATAGTGGTCGCTCATCACACCACCTGTACATTTTTTTTGTCATTCTCTCTTGCTACGTATGTATCATTGTCTTCAATTTTCTATCACTTTAATGAATAACATCAGGTTTATTTCGGTTAGTTGTAGTTCCCCGACTGCTTCAAGTGTTGTTTTTAGTCGTAACTGGAAGTTTGAATCTTTTGCAGGCCTGTCTGAGCTCTCAAGGATCTTTAAGCTTTGCAAATCACTTGACTCAGTGGAGCAGGTATATTTATCGCCAACAGGGAAAAGAAATTTTCTTAATTATCAGAAAAATATTAAAGGCTTTTTAATCGTAGTGGCATTTGACAAGCTACAATTTCCTTTAGCTTACTGTGTGAGGTCAGCATAGCTCACTTATTCCCCAATCTCTACTTTCCTCTTAATTTACAGATTCATCACATGTTAGGCTGGATTCGAAATGCCTTCACTACTCTTGCCATGGACGATTACCCATACCCTACAGACTCGCTGCCTGGGTACCCTGTTAATGTGGTGTGCGAAATGATGGCTACTGCATCTTCCAAGCTTGAGGGTCTGGCTGGTGCCACAGCTCTGGTGTACAATGGAACCAACGGAACACTGTCATGCCTTGATCCAGATACTGAGTACATTGAATGTGCAGATCCTACAGGTTGTGGTCTTGGTCCAGATAGCCTTGCTTGGGACTATCAGGTACATAGCAAAGAAACCTGTAAGCTCAAATCGTATGATACCTTGCGACTGACTGAGCAATCTTCAAGATTTAATCAACTGAAAACAACGTCTCATGAATAGCGGAAAGATAAACTATAAGACCGCTGTGCCTTCTGGGAAATGCTAATGCATGAATGCATTTGCATTACCGTAAAATTCCGAAAATAAGCCCCTCCAAATGAAGGCCCCCCCAAACTCGTAACGCAAAAAACCCTCCGTTAAATCGCCCCTCCAAAAATAAGCCCTCCGGGGACTTGTACTTGGAAATTGCCCTCAAATACAAATTAAAATGAAGCAAAAACGGTCAATTTCCTTCCAACTATAAGCTACTGTAAGGCTAGCCCAATCGATTTTGAAACGCAAATTTCCCTCCATAGGTAAGCCCCTTCGAATATAAGCTCCTCCAAAAATAAGCCCCTCAAAAAGGGCCTTTGAAAAATATAAGCCCCGGGGCTTATTTTCGGAACTTTACGGTATCTTATGAGCGGCAAATATGAGCTGTATAACTGCATGACTTCCTGCACGAAGTTTTTTGATTATGGCGTTGATAAGACCTCGTCTATTTTCGGTAATGTCACCACGCTCTCTTAAGAAATTTTGTAGAAAATATATGCACAGAGGTGACGTTTTCACCAAAAAGACTGGAATCCCCTTTACTTTGTTGTTATGTATCAAGCTTAGAGTTCGTGACGACAAAGGAAGTCCGAGAAATGGTATTATAAATGGTATTTTGAATTTGCAATTCTAATAAACATATACGAACAAATCCCTTTAGTCTCACCGTTCATGGTACAAAATTTTCAATCCATTGTATATCAAGAATGCTCGATGAGGCTCCCTTTGCGGGAGTTTTCCCTTACGTTAACAAGTCGTGCCATAAGGTAATTAGAAAATTTTGAAACTGATGTTATTGAAAGTGTTTCAACTAAAACCAAAGTATTTCATAACCCAGAATGGAAACCGCAATGAATCAATCAATCAAAACCTTTATTTATACATGTATGTAGCTTGGCGGGCCCTTCTTTTTCTAACCTCTCTCCCTTTATACTTTTCTAAAACACCAATTCACCAACATTTTGAAAAAATTTAAGTACAAGTAATAGGACGTGCTTTTCATGACTTTAGCCCTTCTTAGTCCTAGCCCGAACATTGAATGTAAATTAACCTCTTGCTTAAACATCGTTCTTTCTAAGACTATTTAATTTTTTTGTAGCTTTATCCAAATCATATATCAAGTCTGTCATAACCAGATAACTAAAAGCTAAAAATGAAAGTTAAGAGCATTGTTTTTTTTTTAAAGATAAGGAAAACGTAGGCGTTCACTGCATTTCCATAGCAATAGAACAGTCATACGAGTAAGTATTGTATGTAATAAAAGGGTTTTCATTTCCGCGATTCTTATATGATTTATTTCATATACATCTATCAAAAGGGTTTTGTATCAATTTTTCTGTCAATTTTTTAGGTTTGCACTGAGCTGAGCGTGCCTGCAGGTTCAAATAACAGGACAGACATGTTTCCAGTTTTACCCTCAACTCCTGAAATGGTAGCAAAATATTGCCAGCATAAATGGGGTGTGGTTCAGCGATCTAACTGGCCCATCATTCAGTTATGGGGAAAAGGTCAGTTACTCTGAAGCTTTAAAGCTGTGCTTCACACAGTGATAACTGCAATTTTACTTCAGTTGAATTTTCCGACTGCAGTCGAAAGATTAAAACACAAGGTGCAACCAAGTTTGTTGCATATTGTATGACTTCAAAAACTTCTGATGCACAGATGACTTAGATCTGTTCATTCTTGCACTAATATCTACATTTGGTATTGTTTTGTTCAAGAAAGCCATATACCCATTACACAGTAATTTTCTTTTCCATGTTGTCCATGAATTATTTTTAGTTTTTCATAAGTACATGGTTAATCTATTTCCATTTGTCCCTTTCAGATATATCTTCTGCTTCCAACATTATTTTCTCCAATGGTGACTTAGATCCTTGGAGGCCAGGAGGGGTATGTTATTAAACGTAGCGGCTGCAATTCCACGGTGTAATGAATACATGATTAGGGCAACGTCTGGGCAGCTAATGCATACTATAATGAGACCATTTGGGACAGGAAGAAGAAGAAAGAAATTTTAAAATAAAAGTTCCCGCAGTGGTTTTATTAACAGTGTGCCCTATTTTATAGTAAAGAGCATAAGTTGAGACAAATCTTCTTTTAGCCTGAAAATGACGGTTAAGCTTTCTCTCTCCGATGAATTTTATTTACTTTGCAAAAAGCGATGCTCCTTTAAATAATTACGTTGGCTCTGTTGTGGATATTCACGGTTTTCAACCTATGGTAGTAGGCCATTCATTCCTCCCCTAGCAATCACAAGTCCGCCCTACCTTAATTACCACTACCCATCACTTCTTTCACTACATCTGAATTTTGCTTAGCGTTTTTGTGTTGTTGATACTGGTTTCGTACTTTTCACTCTCATTATGATGCTTTTACCAGGTTCTTAAAAATGTTTCCTCAACACTTGTTGCAGTTTTCGTCAAGGGCGGAGCCCATCATCTTGACCTAAGGTATTTTCGTTATAATGTTGCCTCCCCATTAAATCTGCATCGCTTATTAAGGAAAAGGTATCCTGCCGTTTAAGATTATATTGTTAATCTCTTCGTGATTGGTAAAGCACTTGCATACTAATATTTGCAGCCGATTATGATTTTGTAATTTCAATCCAACCTCAAGCATAATCAACGGGCGAAAGGACCTTCCTGTATTCAATATTCTGTTCCTACTCTAGGAGGCGCTGTTGTTGACCAGCAGAGGACTTGAAATGCCATTTATGGAGACAGGAATGGCATAAAAGGGAAGAAGTTAAATTTCTGGACTCCACACAGGTCCTGCACAGGCGCGGATCTAGAATAAATACTGACCGATTTCCTAAACGAGCACCGGAAGTGAAAGCATGCAAACTGGTATGGATCCGCGCCTTCTGCGGTCGCGTGACCGTGAATGGCGATAGGTTAAACATCTTTACACGGTAGGGTAGCATCCTGTGAACAAAGGCACCAACTCAAGGCTTGGGTAAAAGAAATGCAGTGCTCAGTATGAAATTACATACTACCACTCATCGAGGGAAAGGTCCATTGAAATAGTTTCATACTTTGTTCTCATATATATTGTTATTTTTTATTCAGGGCATCCCACCCTCAGGATCCACCAACCGTCACAGAAGCCCGTCAGCAAGAACTGCAACTAATTCGAGAGTTCATAGACTAGGCCAACTCCTTGTATTAAAATAATTTATCGAAAATGAATGTCTAAGAAAAGCAACTTAATCATGATGGGAAGCGTAATAAAAAATAAGTACAAGTGTTATTTTTTAAATAGGTTAGGGAGGAAGGGACGTCTGTACACAGGCTATCTTCTTATTGTGCAATTAAACGTTCATGACTTCGTGGTCGAAGAGCGTAACAATATACACTCTGTGAACTGAAGGCCCCCCCTTAATTTTAGACGAAACTGAGGCCCGAAGGGCCGAAAAATTTTATTTGAGACTGCCCGCTCTTGTCTCAGGGTCTGGATGACCCCCCCTCTCCCCCACCCCCTTATCTGAAGGTATGGATCCGCCACTGCCTACATCCAATTTTATCTGGGAGCCCCACCCAGAGAATTTGAATTGACATGTAGTTTGTCTCTTGACAAGTTTCCAAGGAGAAACAGCTACACTCAGCTGACTGTTTATTGCAGTTGAGCAAACTGGGCTACAATGTGCTACACCTGTGCATGAGTGTTGGTTAAGAACTGCCTTTATCAAGTCCCCGACTGCACAGGCAGTGATCAGGGAAGAACCCTTTGATTACCAGGTGTTTGTTGAAATGCGCCATTTGCTGGAGATCAACCAAACGACAATGGACAGATTGAGGAACTGAACAAGACCTAAAGGCCTAGAGCATGCTGAAGGCTAGAGTTGAAGACGATCCGAAGGGCTGAGATAAACGCATTGTTTAGCTGTATGATGGCTTTTGAAAATAACGTCCACTGCTCCGACGGACCGACATACACCTTTTGACCGCGGTACGTTTGGTAAGAGGATGCAGATACGCCTGGATGTGATGTCAGACAGAACCGAAGACAATGAAATAAGCTACTTGGGGTTTTGGCGGTGATCTTCAAAATACGTTAGAGACTGCATATTGTGGTGGGAGACAAGGTGTGTGAGTAGCCAAGCGTTGGCAGGAAGGTGCATATGACAAAGGTGCAAAACACATGTGGTGATTTAGTGCTGGGATGGTTCACTCCACAGCTGATCATGAAGCAGGGTGAAGCACAGGGAGCCCAAGCTCAGTATGAGAGTTTCATCATTAATAAATGTGGGTTCATATCGCGTAATCCTTAAAATGGCCGTGAAAATACAGTGTAAAGGATTTCTAGGGGAATTCAGATAAAAGATTCAAGGAGATAAATTCTCGTAAGAATTTTCAATAAAATACAGCTTACCTTAATTACTTTCCTACTCTTTGCTTGCTGTGACGTTATTTGCCGGATCTATCGCGATTTAAGCTCTTTCCTTTAATCCGGAGGTTCCTCTTTTGACAGAAAAAGGGGAAGGGGCCATTTAGGATAGTGCCATGAGCGCGTCAAGGAAGCTACGTTTCTGGGAAAGAAAGTCAGGAGGCATTCCAGAAGATTATGTTTAACAACTATTCCTCGAGCCCGAATGAGCTCTGAGTCAATAGCCCATGAGGCCGGAGGCCGAATAGGCTGTTGACTCAGAGGCCATGAGGGCGAGAGGAATAATTGTTTTAGTAAAATCCTACTAGTTGGTCAAAAATATCGAGAATAAAAAAATTTTAGCTAGTTAAAGCTAGACTTTAATCCTTTTTTGCCGTCAAAAAGGCCGCGCTTTTCGCTACTAGTGGGCTATAACATATAGCCTAGTAGTAGCTTAACCAATCAGAACGCAGCATTGATAATAGACCACTAGCTGGATTTTACTAATTAGAAATAGTCCGTTCAGTTTTTTACAACCAGCGATGGTATCAGAAAAAACAGGAGGAATGCATGGAGGAACCGGTTGCTCGGGAGTAGGTGGATGCACCCCAAGATGGAAGCAAGAAACGTGAGGGGCTCCACCAACGTGGGACTATGTGGTGTCAATCAAGAGCTCTCTTGGTGTCAATGGAGCCTGACGTTATTACCTCTGGAGCTCAAGGAAAAGTTGTCTGGGTTGCAGCTAGAGATCAACCTTACCAACAAGGTTCTTGATGTGCAAGACGAGAGTGGGTATCGGCCGTGGTTCCAAATAAGGGAACAAGGTGGTGAAGGTGACTGACTAGGTGGTGCATTTGCTAGGTGTGGATGGGAAGGGGGGGGGTGGACGCTTACAAGCTGTTCAAAATGGTCACACGTGCTGAAGGGAAGAAAAAGAGCAACAAGATGTCTAAGAAGTGGAGGCATCTGTTCAGTACGCATAAGGAAACCTCCAGAACGTTATGGTGAATTGATTACAAATAGTGTAAAGCAAATATCGAAGTCGGCTTGAAGATGTTGGATGGCAAGCAAAGAAAGAACAAGGAGTGGATAATCATGCTGAGACAAAAATTGCAAATAAGGCTAGGACGTTATGGAACTTTGAGGTTTTTTAGGAAGGGGATAGTGTAATGGGACATTTTGTGCTCGACATATAGCGAAGGATAAAATGGAAAAATCATACCCATGTATAGTTTGTGGGACAGATTGACCTTATTACTGGATCGGTATTTGTATGTTCTCGGCTACGAGACTCCAAACTATTAATCTGTGCAAGATCACTCTTAAACTGTTGCGTGCCAATAAACAGAGAAGCGCACCAGGGAATGTTTTAGAGAATTTAACTAAGGCAATAATTCTACTGAATTCAGACAATTTGTTTTTTACTTTTATGGGGACCGAACAACATATCGAGGAATCACAATCCTGATTGTGCAATCCTCGGCGCGTACTTCATGGCTGAATGCCATATACACGACAAACCCACAATGCCTTGCTAGTACCTGTAGTAGCTGAACGCTGCGTTACATGTATAGGTACATGTGGTGCCTGCAGTGCCTGAAGTAGCTGTAGTAACTGTAGTAGCTGCAGTAGCTGCAGTAACTGTAGTAACTGTAGTAGCTGTAGTAACTGTAGTATCTGTAGTAGCTGTAGTAGCTGTAGTAAGTGTAGTAACTGTAGTAGCTGTAGTAGGTGTAGTAGGTGTAGTAGCTGTAGAAAGTGTAGTAGATGTAGTAGCTGTAGTAGCTGTAGTAGCTGTAGTAAGTGTAGTAGCTGTAGTAGCTGTAGTAGGTGTAGTACCTGTAGTAGGTGTAGTAGGTGTAGTAGCTGTAGTAGCTGTAGTAAGTGTAGTAGCTGTAGTAGCTGTAGTAGCTGTAGTAAGTGTAGTAACTGTAGTAGCTGTAGTAGGTGTAGTAGGTGTAGTAGCTGTAGAAAGTGTAGTAGATGTAGTAGCTGTAGTAGCTGAAGTAGCTGTAGTAAGTGTAGTAGCTGTAGTAGCTGTAGTAAGTGTAGTACCTGTATTAGGTGTAGTAGGTGTAGTAGCTGTAGTAGCTGTAGTAAGTGTAGTAGCTGTAGTAGCTGTAGTAGCTGTAGTAAGTGTAGTAAGTGTAGTAGCTGTAGTAGCTGTAGTAGCTGTAGTAGCTGTAGTAGCTGTAGTAGCTGTAGTAAGTGTAGTAGCTGTAGTAGCTGTAGTAGGTGTAGTAGCTGTAGTAGCTGTAGTAAGTGTAGTAGCTGTAGAAGCTGTAGTAACTGTGGTAGCTGTAGTAGCTGTAGTAGCTGTAGTAACTGTAGTAGCTGTAGTAACTGTAGTAACTGTAGTAGCTGTAGGGGGTGTGATAGCTGTAGTAGCTGTTGTAGCTGTAGTAGCCGTAGTAAGTGTAGCAGGTGTAGTAGGCTGTAGTAGCTGTAGTAGGTGTAGTAGCTGTAGTATCTGTAGTAGGTGTAGTATGTGTAGTATCTGTAGTAGGTGTAGTAGCTGTAGTAGCTGTAGTAGCTGTAGTAGGTGTAGTAGCTGTAGTATCTGTAGTAGGTGTAGTATGTGTAGTATCTGTAGTAGCTGTAGTAGGTGTAGTATGTGTAGTATCTGTAGTAGCTGTAGTAGGTGTAGTAGGCGTAGTAGCTGTAGTAGCTGTAGTAGCTGTAGTATCTGTAGTAGCAGTAGTAGCTATAGTAGGTGTAGTAGGCGTAGTATCTGTAGTAGCAGTAGTGGCTGTAGTAGGTGTAATAGCTGTAGTAGGTGTAGTAGCTGTAGTATCTGTAGTAGGTGTAGTAGCTGTAGTATCCGTAGTAGGTGTAGTATGTGTAGTATCTGTAGTAGCTGTAGTAGCTGTAGTAGCTGTAGTAGGCGTAGTAGCTGTAGTAGCTGTAGTAGGTGTAGTATCTGTAGTATCTGTAGTAGCTGTAGTAGCTGTAGTAGCTGTAGTAGGTGTAGTAACTGTAGTAGCTGTAGTAGCTGTATACTATGTCAACATCAATCATGTTTTCGTGCTATTCATTCAACTGTCACAGCTTTGGTTGAGGCAACTGACTCCCGGGCATATAATATAGACTTTGGGAAAATCAACGCGGTTATTATTCAAGATCTAAAGAGAGCTTTCGATGCCGTTGACCACAAGATTCTTTTATCTAAGCTTGACTTTAATGGGATATCTGGGAATTCATTAAAATGGTTTTAGTCGTATTTAGAGAACCGCACCCAACAATATTCAGGTAGTGGGTCCTGTACCAATATTGAACGTGAGCAAGAACCAATTGCGATTGCCTTTCACCGCCAACTCTTAATTTGCAGTTGCACATCCTGTTGAAAGGGGACTAGCTTCCCTTTCAACAAAGATAAGTCGACTGTATTCTTGACTCTGACTTTTATTCCACAGGAGTTGAACTTCTTTAGACTTTTGCATTTGTACAATTCTCTGGTGACTCAATGTTGCACCCCTTTTTATATCAGCCAGGAAACCAACTGCTTAATGTAAACTTATGCTGACATACTACTACACCTACTACACCTACTACAGCTACTACAGCTACTACACCTACTACAGCTACTACACCTACTACAGCTACTACACCTACTACACCTACTACAGCTACTACACCTACTACAGTTACTACAGCTACTACAGCTACTACACCTACTACACCTACTACAGCTACTACACCTACTACACCTACTACAGCTACTACAGCTACTACAGCTACTACACCTACTACAACTACTACACCTACTACACCTACTACACCTACTACACCTACTACAGCTACTACAGTTACTACAGCTACTACAGCTACTACAGCTACTACAACTACTACACCTACTACACCTACTACAGATAATACAGCTACTGCAGCTACTAGAGCTAGTACACCTTCTACTTATAGTACACGTACTGCCAGCGCATTGCAGGTACTAGCAAGGCATTGTGGGCTTGTCGTGTATATGGCATTCAGCCATGAAGTACTTGCCGCAATCCTCAGGCTAACAGGTTACCTGTACAGCTCTGGGTTGTTCAAAGCTGGGTTAAGATAACCCGGCCTATAGCTTAGTGCGAAATTTAAATTCAGATTTGAAAGGTTAAAAAAAAAATTCGGTTAATTTAATTCTTCTTGCCTACAAATTGATGATTGGATGCTCTAAGTAGAATAGAGAAAATTTTCTGAGAAAATGCTTTAAAAAAAGAAAAGAAAAATATACGGAATTAAAATTTAACCCCGAGTTAGCTCTGATCGGCCTTGGGACAACTGGGCCTAGAAGATTAAAATGCATTGAGGTGTCTGCAGTAGTTATACACCAGCTGTTATATCACTTTTTATTGTCCTAAAGTATTTGAAACCATTATAAATTATGAAGATAGCTTCAATGTGCCAGTTGGAAGCTGTGGCATCAGCGTTTTGCTTCTGGTCATAACTAGTTTAACGTTAGTTCTCGTTTGATTACCTTTCCTTGGACAAATACCTGATACACATATAATCGAACATACACACCTACATTGTAATTGTTAACAGAAGTTAAGTTAGTCTGATAGCCAGAGATTAAACGATCGATGAAGAGCCGTTTTTAAGGATGAAGCGCTGGACTGCCTGTGGGCACTTATATTACTCCACGAACGATTGCAATTGCGACTGAATTGCATGATTGAACAATTGTGCTGGCCCCTCTGGAAACCAACTTCTGCTTCCATAAATAACTTTTGCGCAATTCACATGTAGCAAAGGCTAAACTGGTTGTAGGCCCGAGGGCCACTCCCATATGAAGGGGGCGGGATGCTAGTAGGAAATTTCGATTTAAACCCCTAAAGAAAGTCAATCTGGGCGTGGCCCAACCTTTTTTTGATCCCTATATAACAAATACAGCTAGCCTGAATTTCATCCGATTACTTCGAGTCGTTATTACTCTCTCAGTAACGTCGTTGTTGAGAGGAGAAAACGACTCGAAGCAATCGGATGAATTTCAGGCTAAAATATAGCGACTTTAATGGTGGCAAAAACATCATCATCGAATCCTGACTTTTACCCATACGTTGTTTTAAAAAGCATCGTCATAAATCTTTAGTTCATCATATTCGCTTCTTTTATCGTTAGCACGTGGCACGTGGCACGTGGCACTTGGTGGAACAGCAAACTTGAAAATGTTGGAAAGAACTGTAAGTGCAATATATCATTAAACAATTTGTACATCATACACGAAAGACTACGAAGGCTGAAAGCTGTTAGTGGTCAGTCAATTTTGTATCTAAGTCTTTGCACGTAGTTTACAATGATCCTGATATACGACATACACTATTATATAAAGGCCAGTACAGGAAAATGTCTACCCTAACAATGGACAAAGACATTTTGTTACAATGTTCTTTAGGTATTGATGTTATAGCAAACTTTGATTACATGAATCTAGTGAATAAAACGAATTGAGTATATACTTCTTTATACTTCTTCGCGTGCAAAAGAGATCTTTACGGCTAAATATAATGGCATATTGTCCAGGACACCCTAACTGAGACCAAAATCCGAAATTTTCACCCCTAAGCGAGACGATGAGCACCGCTGCCCCTTTCATATGGGAGTCATGGGAGTCCCCCCCCCCCGGGGGGCTTGTAGGCTAGACGTGACTGACATGTACGCTATAACTAACAATTAGCAGCTCCCCATCATGAAAGAATGCCTAGCGTGTGAGCTTGGAATCGTTGCTGGCGAAAATCCATTCCACCTATTAAAAGGCGATCATTCCAGCTAGCGACCCCTAGAGGTTCAAAAAAAGATTGGTTGGGAATTTTTGTCTCCTTTTGCCCAGACTTTCTTTACAGACTGGACCAGGTGATATATATCAGTATATATTCTCCCCTAATCCTAGCATTTGTTAAGTTCACTTAGACTATTTTCAGTAAAATGCTGCTGCTATCGTTGAGCCGTGAGCTCCTCCTGCTCATTTCCGCATTTCGGAGAGAAGAAGCACGGTGGAGAACTGGTGACGAGTTGCGTGGTGATATCTTCGTTGCCGCCATGATTGTTGTAGAAAGAGGCGGAAAAGTTGTTATTTAAAGTGCGATAGTTATGTCCACTAGCTGTCAGCATTACATAAGACGTTGCTCCTTACTGGTAAGTTTCTCTGATTCTTATTTTATGTCGCATATACTCGAAAAAAACGTGAACAGATTTAGTGCACTACAATAAACAATAATTCACTTAGCTGAAGAAGCGTTGGATTAGTTTAGCTCTAATACCACACAAGATACTGGCGTCATCTTGGAGGATTAAGTCATTTTGTAACTCAATTATTTTTACTTGTTTGCCTTACTTCGATTTGATAAGGCGTACAGTGTATATAAAGCTTAGTTGAAACATGGAAGCATTGCAAAAACTGGCGCAACCTCACCTGGTCTTTTAGGTTTTTCTTGATTCTCGTGTGTGTGAGAGGGAAAGCGAGGCGCGAATTCAAGAAAAAAAACTGTAAGACCAGGGTAGCAAAACCTACAAAGTACGTGTATTTAACTCTAGATCTCACGTGAAGTTCTCCATACATCTACATTGCTCCTTGGTTTCAGACCAAGTTCTTTAAAGGGCTAATTAGACTTTTTGAAGAGATCTCTACTGGTTGTTTCAGGTCACAAGCAAAATATATATAACATTCACAACCGATCTGTTTGGGCTTTTTGGTAAATGTAGCTTGCCTTTGGCTCACCATGGTAACTGCCCACACAGATCAGCTTCACATGGTGTTTTGAGTACTTTAAAGTGTGGTTGTTTCAAGCTGTATCTGATTGTCTTCTTTTATTTTGTGTGATCACTTGAGTCTTGTTCAAAATGGAAATAGTTAAACCCCAGCTTTTATTTAACCACTTGACTGATCTAACTAAAAGTAATTTCTTAGAGTACAATTCTTAATTTCAGGTGAGCACATTACTCTGCTATACTGGGTGTTAATAAACAAACAACAGTTCAAAGTTCATCCTACTGTAGCATTTAGCTTGCATTGTGTGATTGGTCTTCAAAGTACTATGTTCCTGTATTATTTTGTAGGTCACCTTAGAAATTTTTGTTTATTAAACAAGGGTCTCTTGTATGATTTGTGTCCATAGGCACCATGCTGTGTTAAATACTACAGCTGCAGATTGTGTCATAATGACAAAGAAGATCATGAGTTAGACAGAAAGACTGTTCAGCAAATTAAATGCCTTCAATGTGGCAGTTGTCAAACAGTAAGTTGTAGCCTCTAGAATAATGTGACTGCAGGGTTTGCAAATATTTATTATTATTTATATATTTATTGATGGGTGAGGTCAGTGTGACTGCTTCTTCACAAATTTTGGAGTCATTATGGAATAATTGGAGTCACGTAACACAACGGTTCTTTACTTAGTCTTTTTTATGAGGATGCCATTCCAATGCATGGTTCTGGCACATGTACAGTGTACACTATTATGATGGCAACATAGAGTAGCTAAACAGCCTCATGTGAAAGTCCGTTGACCTGGAAAAGCTAGAATCCATCATGATGATCGTCATTTGAGTGGTCTTTATTTTAATTTAGCCTCTAGGTATACATGTCGTTGTTCAATTTTATCCTTGGTTTAATTTTTATTTTCCTTTGTTCTAAACTCATTATCGTACATTACATACCCCAAAGCAAAGGAAAATAAAAATTAAACCAAGGATAAAATTGAACCACAACATACACACATGAATAATCCTTAAATTGGTCTGGTTAAATCAGGGTTGTAACGTTTGCAGTTAATGTAGATTGTATTTGTTTTGAAAAAGGTAAGGAAAAAACTATTTTGCAACCAAAAATTTGTGGAGTCAAAGAGACTCCCTCTGTAACCTCGGTGGAGTCATCTTGAAAATTTTGGAATAAAGTACGCCAAATTTGGCATATTTGTGAACCCTGTGACTGAATATATGAGTGCCTGATCTTGTAAAAAATGCTGATGATCTCATTTTAGTATGCTTTATTAGGGACAGATCATACAGAAATATCAAGCAAGACTGTAGTATTTCCTGGTAAAGGGCAGGCATGCAATTACGCTGATCAAAAATAGCACTACATTTGAAATTCAAAATTGGTGAAAATTTTGTTGTTTCAAAGTGCACATGTTTCAGCTCAAAATTAAATTGAGGTGAAAATTTTTTAACCTACAATCATCGTCAAAAATGTTGGGAAGGTTACCAATTTTTACCTTTTTTGTACTTGTCCCCCCACCCCACCCCTGGATCAATGTTGGACAAAACTAAATTGTTTTTGTGCGTAATTGTTGTTACATGTCTCAACATTGAATAGGAGGCGTGGGGGGTATTCAGGAGAAGAACAAATAATCTTTTTTGAACATAGACATAAGGCGTATGAAATGGAGAAATAATGTTGTTAAGTTATTCCACCTTCCCAACTACTTTTGTCTGTGATTGTAGGTTGTTTCTCAATTTCCCTTGTCTCCTAGCCATGATTATTCAGGAATTAGGGCTAGGAGACAAAGAAATGAGAATTAAACTAGTTTAAGAAATTTTACCTGAATTTATAAATTTTGACCTGTTTATACATAAACATGCCTCACACTAGTCAGTTTTGTTTTCAACCCAAAGATTACAGTAGGTAAAGGATTAGCCATAGACAGAACAGGAACAATATTATTTTATTAACTGATGATATTGATGACCTCATTGTTTTGTCTTGAAATGTAACTAACTGGATAATGCTGTTGTTGACTGGTATTTTGTATTTCTTGTACATAATTTACTAATTTAAGTGCTTAACTTCTTTTATGAATTCAGGTAGCATCTCATTGCAAAGATTGTGGTATAAAGTTTGGTCGATATTTCTGTATGATCTGTCGATTGTATGATGATCAAGAAAAGGGACAGTTTCATTGCAATGGTTGTGGAATTTGCAGGTGTTGTGATTATGTGCACTGTTATTCAGCAGTATTTGTTGAATCCACTTTTATCATAAGCTATACATTCAATAATAAAAAGGTTACAATTTAGGTAAGCATTACTGATTCAGTGTGCATACACGCAATTTAGTTTTAACACAAATCCTAGCCTGTTGTTGAAAACCTAAAAGAAAAACCAGTATTATGCTGCATATATATAAAAAAGGAAAAAAAAAAAACAGAAAAAGTTGTAAATACATTGAATAGTCCCATAGCTACAGTGTAGAGTTAACTGATACAATATAGCTGTATGGCAGTTAGCTTGGAAGATTAGTTACGTTTATGACCTTAACAGCTGTACACTGTACATAATATATTTTGCCTAAAAATTTCCTACAAGTTTTAGTGTTTGGATCTCCTTTGTTGTTGTTATTGAAAGTGAGTCAGTAACAAATCTGCCAGATTTCTTGTTTCCTGGCACTGTCTTTTAACAATTTAACCCAAGGTCAGCATTTTAATTGAAATACAAGTTTTTCATAATAAATTTTAACCACTGTTTGACACTACAGGTACATGCTACAATACATGTGTAATACACTGAATAGCACACTCTCTTCCAATATTTTTTATTGTTTGGACCAAACTGAATGTGAATCAGCAAGAAGCAACGAATGGGGAGAACCCTGTGAAGTGTGAAGTATATGGATACATGGAACATTCACTTGTAGAAAGCTTATCATTTATTTTATTTCATTTTATGTGTTAAAATTATTGTGTTGTAGCTGCAGGCTGCTTAGTAAGCCTTCAATTATATATTAGCTGCAAAAGGTTGCATTTTAAAATGCAGTGTAAATTGATAATGACTTGATCTAATTCTTCAATTGAGAAGTTGATTTTTCCTTACTCCTGCACTGTTTTAGTTACAATGTAGGTTGTACTTTGCTTTTTGTATTCAACATTTTTGTCTTCACGTGTGGCCAAACTACTTTATTCTGCCATATCTTACATTAGAGTTGGTGGAGAGGCGAACTTTTTTCACTGCAGTAGATGTGACATGTGCTTAGGAATTCAGCTGAAAGACTCACACAAGGTAAGAAACAACACTCTCACTTAAGGTGTCTGCTGAAATGGATTTGTGCAGTTAAGTTCAGTTGGACACAAATCACATCAAGTCACATTTATTTATCCTTGAGAACTCTGATTTATTTGAAATAGTTCTCCATCTCTGAGGAATCAGTTTCATTCTAAAACGAGTTCATTATTTTCATCTCTATACATTTTTCTGTATTTGTTTACATGATACCAAAACAAAATTTCCTTCCTGTACAAGTCATTATAGAATGAGTTAATTCCTATTTTCAATCCCAATGAAATTCGTATTCTTGTACAAAATCATGTAAACCAAAAACTTCCGGATTGAAAACATGGCAGTTGTGTAGTCCCCGGCCAGTGGTGTATGCATATCTGATATGGCATGGAAGCCACGCAAGCCATGCCTTAGGCTGAGCCAGTCAATTTTCCGATGTAAATGCGATACAAACTTCACTCTGGAAGAAAAGTCATTGTGGTATCATATTGGCCATTTCAGAGTTGCGTAGGGAACTGGGGCAAGTTTCAAATTCAAACTAATTGATAAACTGACACCACCATATAACCATATTTATATGGTGGTGTCAGTTCATCGATTAGTTTATGCACCTATCAATGTAATGCCGGCAGGGGGGGAGGCAGGGCATAGGGTGGGGATTTGACTTTTTTCAAAAATTTGCAATCAAATTCCCTGCCCACGGGCAAATCATTCCAGTCAAATCCAACCAAATTTCCCTGGCACCCCAGGCTGCACATTGCTGTCAATCCCAAGGCAGAACCTAAGAAAGGCTCAATAAAAATATCTCCAAATAAAACTCTGCAATCTTTTATAAATGTTGCTGCATCACCAAAGATACATGTTCCTGTTACAGCTGCAATTTTACGTTTTAACCATAATCAGTGTTACACTGCATAGAATACATAAACCTTTAGGAGAAAGTCCACATTTTGTAAGTCTAAATATACCGTTCTTAGTAAAGGGTACAAAGAAAGTCAGTTTTATAAGTTTACAGTGATTGTAGCGAATGAGCCATGGATACACTAATCAATTGTACTTGCAAAAATCGACTTGGTTTCTCTTTACTTCCGTTTACTTTGATACCACAGTATATTAAGAGGTTCAATTGATCAAAAACACGCTAAAACGAACGAAATTTGAAGACAAAACAGTGAAATCCACTCAGCCTTCGCTTGTTCTCATTGGCCTCCATGACTTCCTGATCTTTTCAAACCGTATGGCGCATTTGTGAAGCGTGGAAGCGGGAAACATATGTTTGGTCTCAGTCTTTTTCGTCCGAGTCGGCAGTCAAATATCTCCACGTCGGGCGAAGAAAGATTCAAATATCCCTTCCCCCGGGAGAACAAGATCAGTCAAATGCCCTACCCCAGGGACAACAAAGACAATCAAATCCCCACCCCATGCCCTGCCTCCCCCCGCCGGCAATAAATTGATAGGTGCATTAAATTTGAAACTCGCCCCAGCTCCCTACGCAACTCCGAAATGGCTAATAATCACTTCATATCACCTACGCAAATGCAACGAAATATATGTAGATGTAATGAACTCATTCCAGAATCAAAGTCATTTTGGTATCATGTAAATAGCCCCTGAATCCCCTGGCTAATTTTTCATGTACTGCCATTGTTGCAAGTCACTCTTACATCAGTTTTTGTATGATTTTATTGCAATATCCAATCACTGATGTCATGCAAGACACCAGCATGGCAGTTTAGCTGTTTAATAGGCATGAGACGGCATGTAGTACAGAATTCAAGAAAAATAGTGAAATAGGTCACAGCTATCTGACGATGAAACGGCAGCATTTTTAAACATAATTTCCCAATATTATTTTTTCATACCCTATTTACAGTTGGTGTGATATCTTAACAATTTTACCTACCCAATAATGTAAATGTGAATGTAAAATGTAAATATTAGAAGGTCTGAACTGTGCAAAACATTATACAATGAAATAATTTTTGTTAGATCACCTGGAGAAATGAATTTTTGCCCAATCTAAAGGCAACATTTTAGATTAGAAATGACGTGGTTGTACTTAGCCAGTAAAAGACAATGATATTGTATAAATGTACGCTGCCATAGTACAGTACTTCATGTAGGTACATGTACTTATGACAAACTAAGTTTTGAAAGTTCTCTTAGGAATGCTATATCGTTTCCATCATGGTAACTGTTATTACATGTTTATTTACATCTTAATAGGTTTTCTGCTATGACTGGTGTATATTACATGTATGTAATTAAATTTGTCCCTAGTCACCTTAGAGACTCTAGTAGAACAGTAGTAGGACATCTGAGAGATCTAGAACTTGGAGAGGGTCATGAGTTCAAATCTCATCTAGAGCTGGGATTTTTCGGAGATTTCTGATGCTTTATTTCTCCTTTCATTCTTTCTTTCTTGCTTGCTTTCTTGTTTTCAGTGCGTTGAAAAGAGTTCACGCTCAGATTGTCCAATATGCTATGAGGTGAGAGCAACATTATTATTTCTTGATCAGATATTTTGTTTAGCACACACTACAGGGTTTAAGAAAGTAATCATCATGGCATCACCTGTATTTAGCCCTTCCAAACAAAAGCGGCGGTTTCCTTGTGCCATTAGTCTTAACTCTTTGTTTTTGTCACCTGTGTTTGCTGACTAGAATTTCCCTTTTTCTCTCTTGCACCTTATGCAGAACAGCTACAAATAATTATTATGTAAAATGTCTATTATTTAGTACAGTTTTTTAAAATCTGTTTTTCTTTTCCATGTAATGCTAGATACCTAATGAGAGGGGAACGTCCTATAAACCAGCTGATAAATGTGATTTTTAGGATAATTGTGATTTAGTTTTTATCATTATTGAACCCCAGAGTGTGACCTCAGCCACATTATTACAAGTTGTTTTTTCTTTTAAAATGAAACTTTTTATGTTCATTATTTTATTTTACTGCACAACTATGAGAATTGATTTCCAATACATGATTATATTGATTTGGCAATCAAATTAAAATTCAAGTGGTTATGTTTCCTTCACCTGTTACATGTATGCTAGATTGTTTTTATTTTAATTTATGTATTCCTTGCATTTGCCCAGCGTATCTAATCTGACAAAACCGAACAAAATTGATTTTGGCAATCAGATAAAATTGAACATGGAATTGTTTGTGAGTTTGATTATCAAACAAATCAAATATAATCAACAAAGGGAACCATTTGATTTTGTTTTCCCACCAAACAAATTGTTGACTGAACCCAAATAATAGCTTTGATCTCGTCTAAGAAAGACTGATATGTGTGGTGAATACATAGCCATTTTAGCAGAACGACAAATTGCTCTTTTTGGTAACAAATGAGTATTAAACAACAACTGCAACCTTTCCAGCTGGTTTCATGTTGATATCATGTGTTACATAAAACACACACATGTATTGATTTTTCAGTGCATTTCTATTTCATTTGCAAATGAAAAAGTTGTACCTTACGAACAAGAAAGTAGTCAACTAAATAAAATTATACCATTTTACATGCTATGTAATTTTCCTTGGTACTCCGCAATGGTCCAGGATTGCTATATACCAATGTCTACATGACTGTAGCTGCTAATTTCTGAGTGGTGATCAGTTCAAAGAATCACATATGATGATAATCATGTATATTAAAGAGGATTGATAATAAGTGATGTCTCCATTCTCCATGCAAAACCAGTAACTGGTTTTGCATGGAGACATCGCTTGTTAATAATGATAATAACTGTTATTATCAACTGTCCAAAAACTGTCCAATCAAAACTTTGGAAATCAAAGGTTCCATCTTTCAATTGGCCAAATTTTTTTGTGAGTGACAAATGTTGTGTGATCGTTTTTGGCCATAAAACTTAATCATTTGATTTTAATCAAATTAAAATTTTGGTTGATTTTGATTACCGAATGTTTGATTAGATACGTCGGGCATTTGACATTTGACATGAAAAGAAACAAATGAAAAAAAAATAGATAAATGAATAAGTAACCCTCTATTCTGCTGCTATGATGTTTTAACTAGTCTAAATTATGTCACCACAGTTATTCTTCCTATTTTTCCTTTTAAAATAGGATATTCATACATCTAGAATACCAGCGCATGTTCCTCCTTGTGGACATCTATTACATAAGTAAGTAACTTACAAAATGTACATGATCAGATTAGTGTACCTAATGCTTGGACATACAGGAAGAATTTTGATGCTGACCAATGTGGATTTAGTCTGCTCTATGGCCATTCTCTGTGTCATCACATATCACTCCTCCCCACAAATAGCTGCAGAGAACTGAACCACATTCCTTAATTTTTCTCATATTTAGCCAATCAGAGTCAGCTTCCATTTTCTGCAAGGTATTCGAGCCATGTTTACAGTACAGTGACTCCTCCAATCGCAGCTTTGCTTTTATTTGTGCCCCACATGTGAATCACAAAACAATAAAACTGTGGCGTGGCATTATAGCCTGAATTTCATCCGATTGCTTCGAGTTGTTTTCTCCTCCAATCAACGAGGTTACTGAGGGAGTAATAATGACTCAAAGTAATCGGATGAAATTCAGGCTAGCGGCATTAAAACAATTGATCAATCTAGTGTTGTCTCTCTAGTCCTATTCAAAATAAATTATAAGATTGTTAAGCAGCAGCAGCAAGCAAGTCGAACAAATGTAGTGCACAACAATGATGTGTGAAGTTACCAGGTGCCAGTTTGGAAATTGCTTATCAATAATTTATTAGAGTACTTTTGTTTGAACTAATACGCATGAGAGTTTATAAGTACTTCATGAACCAACACCAAGAGCACATCCAGCACAGGAAACACATCAAACATGCACTGTAGAAGTAAAAGTCATGCAGGCCCCTATCAAACCCTTTTTTCTCTTTAGAAGCTTTGTTAACCTCTTTTAACAAACATTTCTGCAAGTTAGCTTTTTTGCTGCTATTGGACACAAAGCCCATCGACATTCAGGGACTATTGATTGATTTGTTGAAAACTGAGAAGCACGTTCATTTCCAAGCACAAACACAAAGAGAAAGGATGTGGTTTTCTTCTCAGCAGCCATTTGTGGGGAAGAGCATTGCGTGATGATACAATTTTTCTCAAACTTGTTTCTGATGTAGAGTGCCAATATTTAACCAGTAGATGTTTTGCTTACAAGTTGTTTTTTGCAGAAATGCATAATTCCTAGTGCTGGGTATGATTTTTCTTTTATAAATGGACATGTGTCTCTTCAAACGTCTATTTTGAAAGGACATATTCAAAAATTTGTTGGACATTGATTACATTGTAGCATACCCTATTTACTTGAATAAGCGCCACAGCACGATATGGCGTTTATTTGAAAGTCGGACGTGACAAAGAATTGTTTTAACTATGGTATTGTTTTTAACCCATTCGCTCCTGGAGATTTTGCCCAAAAACGCGTTTTGAGGCTAGTCGAGTGGTTTTCTGGTCACTGTCGTGCTATAAAGAGCTAAAACTTACCACAAACCGGTTTACAGGTTGTACACTTGGCGGCCTTCTGATCCAGATGCAAAATATCAGCTTGCGAAGTTCGGGCATGTGCAGAAATAAAATTTCAACATAGTTTTTGGGTTTAAAAGTGACACAGCAGTCTTGACTTTTACTTTTCGCTTTCTCTCCTCCCTTCTTTTTTCGCTTTTCTTGCCTCATTTTTTTTTTCTCTTGCTGGGCATTTAGTAGGCTTCATTTTGGTGGGAAGAGGTTTTAGGAAAGCTTTTAGGATCTTAGGATTAGGTGAAAGGAAAGGTAGGTGGGTAATGGAACAAGATTTTCATGGAGATTTTCAGGTCCTTGTCACGTGGTTTTTTGCTTCTTTCTCCGGTGTCCTTGACTGAATTGTGCTCATTCTGGTATGGTTTGAAAGATCTCTTCACTCTGCACAAGTTAGCGAAGAAAGTTGTCCTTGACCGTTAAAACTGATGACGTCACAAAGCGTAGAAAGGACCTGGATCCGCACGGGCGGTTACGGGCGGTTCAGGGGCGAATGGGTTAAACAGAATTAATTTCTTTTGATTTTCATTATAATGGGGCTGTGACGCCAAGAGCCATGGCTCTTGGTTGTGCTTATTCAAAGGTGCTAATTTGAGTAAATATGGTCATGCTTTCAACCCAGTTTGCCTCTGTTTGCCTTGATAGTGCATGACAAGAAAACCCAAGCAGTGATTCTGGGTAACCCCTTTCAAGAACGTGTTCTTCACATTGGCGATTGTTATTTTTTAAAAGAAATAATCTTTCCTTCGAAATCTTCATGATTCTAGACACAATTTGCAAAAATCTCAAGCTTTGAAAAAGAAACAAAATAGTCTAAATAAACCAGTAGAACTCGAATGACCGCTTCCCACCATTTGGCAAGTGTATTAAATTTTGTTTGAATGTGATTGGAAGCTGGCGTAATTCTGGGAAATGAAATACTGGTTTATCTTGTACCAAATTTTAAAGTTTATAATTATTGTACAGTTGTCTTGCAATCTAGTCTTGAAATTCTTATGGATTTTTATATATTCTTAAAATTTCTTTATTTACAGTACCTGTTTTTCAAAGTTACTGGAGTCAGGGTATGTCAGTACTAGCCAGTTTATTTATATAAAATGGCCTTATTTAAACTGTTTGTCATGAGATGTTATTATCCATAATCTGAGTTCTTATTTATTATTGGGCTGCACCTGAGTAAAGAGCAATGCCCAATTAAGTTTTGAGCAGCATGTTCATCGAAAAAAGACAAACTAAACTTTATGGTCTTTCGTATTCGGCATAACCTTGATGTAAATTCAGTGCCCACAAAAGAAATAAAATAAATAAATTTGACTATAAATACAAACTTAAGGTTCATCTTATGGACCTTAGCAGATAAAGAGAAACAATTAGAGGGCAAGCCGGTGATTTGGTAGATTTTTATCTCTTGCCATGCTCAGTAAAAACGTGTGTTAACTGGGCACATTTAATGGGGCATTCATCTACTTGGTAGTCCACCACTTGTATAGTTAATATTATTTTTTGTGTCACTGAAGTCACTATGTCAGAAGCCAAAGCAATGGGAGGTGCATACATTGTAGCTTTTATAAATAGTAATTGTTTTAATTGTTTTGCTTCATGTTTTGTAAAGCCAATTTTTTTCCCCTCTTGACCTTGTCAGCCATTTCTTTGTTTTAGGGGGTATGCTTGTCCAATATGTAACAGATCTATGGTTGATATGAGTCGTGCATGGCGGATGTTGGATAATGAGATAGCACGTACACCAATGCCCGCAGAATATAATAATTTCAATGTAATGGTAAGTCAATGATTTTCTGTTGTAAACCTGTTGTTTCCTTGAGCTGTTTGTAATGGTGTCCAACTTTTTGTGGGAATTTCCTCCGTATTGTGAGGAGTTGTTAGAATTCTTAGCATTGCAAATTGCTGACCCATTCAGCCCTAAAGGTGGCGATAGAAAAAAAGGACGGACAAATTTTTTATATTCTTTCATTTTGTAAAATCTTAGCAAATAAATGGTGTGTTGCAGGCGTTCAGATAATAGAGTGTAGCTTGAACTCTGAAAGCAGGGGAATAAAAGGAAAAGGGGGAGAGGGGAGTGATCCCCACCCCCTCCCCTCACTGCTATTCCTGCTCACCTCTTTTTGTGCTATCCTCACAATCTGAGCACCAGGAACAGGCTAGCAGATAAAGAGTGTTGTGGTTAAGTACGACCAAAGATGATTTTTACTTGAATGGATTTTGTCTTTAAATTTACAAGTTAGTGGCAAATCATTTCGCCATAACTTAATCTAGGAGTGTAAGGAAAAAGTAAGGGAAATTTTGCTCAGTCAACAATGGTATGAACATTATTGTTTTCATTGCAGATTCTCTGTCGTGATTGTCACAAGGTAGGCTGTACTGATGTAATTTCTTAAAGTTTTTAAATTCTCTAAGAGGACACAATGTTATTTTGTCCAATAAGCCCCCAAGCTGTGGTAATCACCGACCTCTTTGGCCAAACTAGTAAATATAAGCTTTCCTGGTGATCAGAACCCCTTCCAGGCCTTCTCTGGCTTTTTTTTGTGTAGGGAAATACAGGAAATACCTGCATTAAGAACATTACGCTGAAAGTTGGCTAATAAAACACCATAAATGTATATATAACAACCAATTCTGTCTGATAAATAGAACATATTCTTATATAAAAAGGAAGAGGGTGAAAGTATAAGAAACCATCACAGTAACTCGTATCATTAAAGTACAAAGGCGCGCTGGGCCATTCAAACTCTAAGAGCCATATAGTACGTAACAGTACGTAATAGTAAGTACTCGTAAGTAATTAAACATTGGATGTTTTTTAACATCCTCGTTGATCTGCATAATTCTTCACATCCCACTCAGTCTCATTCAATAATTGCTAAGTATGCTGATACGAATTTTATTAACGTTTTAAGAATATTCTTAAGCTAATTTTTCTCTAGGCACCCCGTAAAATAAGAACTTGATCAGCCTGAACCCCGAAATCATAGTTTCTTATATGCGGGTGTTTACTGTATATCACAAAGAAAGCCTTTTTTCTCAAATTTTATTCTTGAACTTCTTTAGCACCATTACAGGAGAACTGTTACTTCTCCATTATTAAAGTACAGATTTTTTTCATATCAAGATTATTTTAATCAAAATAAAGTTTCAGTTTGATGGGAGAAGAACTTAATAAATTAACCACCCTCCTTCGAGTAGGCTTTCCTTTTTTGGTGCAACTAGTTTAGGAAAAACAGTTATAACTTAAGTATTGTGTTTTATATCAACCTTCTAACAAATACGCTTTCTTAGAGAAGTGAGAAAAAACGTATCGAATCTGCATAATAAGTTGATTTAGCTATGAAAAATTGTCTTTTGTCTATCTAATTGTCTATTTTTGTTATATTGTGCTGAAACGAGGACCCATTTCTCGGAAAACCAACTTATTTTTTTCTGCATACTTGTCTTTCGTGTCAGAGTACAGCGATTTTCTTTTTCAGGAAAGCAAGGTCAAATTTCATGTCGTTGGTCTAAAATGCGCAGAGTGTGGTTCATATAACACCAGTAGAGAAGGAGAGGAGGGTGTTCCTGTAATGCCACCACCGATACCAGTAGCTGCTGTCGCAACAGAAGCTGCAGAGGGCGAGGATGAATGGGAAACAGAGGAAGAGGAAGAAATAGTGGGTGGAGAGGTAGAGCAAGAAAATGAGGAACAAGGACAAGATGATGGAGTAAACTTAGCTGAAGTACAGTTAGACATGGATGGAGACAGTAATAATGTTCTTCCTTTGGACTAAGGTCTGCAGCTTAAAATATTTCAAACTGGTCTTTTGCAGTGCAGCTGTGATATAGCGCTTTGTCATATGAGCGTTCTACTCCAGAACTAAGATACTGGAACTACTGTTTTGCAAAGCTGGTCTTTTACTGTGCAATTGTGATATGGTCTTATTGAAACTATACCTGTTGAAAGACTGGTCTCATCAGTGGCATTATGGTATTGAAACTGTCGTATGTGAGGCTGGTCTTAACTATGCGATTATGATTATGTCAGTCGTGAGACAAGTTTTAACAGTGGAAGGTCTGTGTTATTTGCTCTACATGATAGATAATGTGTACTTGTCTTTTACGGCAACTATATAAGGGCCTATCTGCAGTAGCAGACTAATTTGGAGTTATCTTTGAATCATTGAAACCAAAAGTTTTATGGTGACACCGTTACATCTGACAACACGTGCATTAATAATCGCTAATCAATAATCGCTTTACAACAACGATTTTGTTTATTTAGTCTATTTTGTCCAGTTTTTACCCGTGGCAAATTTTGTCTGCGGCGTCTTTGAAGATTGTTGTGAGACTGCTCTACTTTGGAACTATGATTATTGCAAGTTACATCTGTCGCAAGATTGGTCTGGTACCGAGAAACTGTCGTACGTGTATATATCAGTTACAAAACTGGTCTTCTGCGGTAAGGCTATGATTTGTCCTTGTCGTTGCTATATTTTTAGAAAATTGTTATTATACCATCTCATGTGAATCGTTTGTCTTAATTTGAAGGTTTTACACACTCGTTGCAACTATGCTGTCCTCATATACGATAATAAACACAATTACAATCGTTTTACTGCATTGTTAAATATACTAATAGCGTTCTTTTATTTCGCTCGGGTTATGTTTATTTAAAGGCTGCAAAAGCATAGGAGATACTGCTGATACGCTGGTCTTGATAAAAAAAGAACGTGGTTCTGTCAAGCCTATTTCCCTGGCTTACTCGTCCCCATAGTTTACTGAATCGTACAAAGTTGTCCACTGTAGTGACATTCATCTGAAACCGTAATTCCAAATCAATTAAAAAGTAAATACTCCAACTCCCTCACTAATCCCCGATTACTGCTAGTGTTTGGTAATTGACACTGTGATAATTAATAGCGCTTTATACTAATGACGTCACAAATTTCTGGTCCCTGCTGTGACTCAGACATTAAACCTGACCAGTGTAAGAGTTTGGTATGGGAAAGTCACGTTCGGCAACAAATCTTCGTCGTCTTTTAAGATGTTTATCGTTAAACGAAACAAAATGCAGCTTGGTTTCGATAATAAATATCCTGAAAATAATCAACGCGTGCTAAGACAGTGTTAAACGTGGAAAAAACTGTACAGATGAGTGGTTTTATTTCTTATGCGGCATCATAATGCTGTGGGTAAAATTATGTTAAAATGTGTGGAGAAGCAGGGCTTCATAGCTGTGCATGAAACGGTGCATTTGGTTAAATTTATAGGCAAAGGTTGCTCAATTTGTTTTTCGAGTGCTTATTTTACGCTACTTAGTACTAAAGTATATAAAGTACTAAAGTATTCGTCCCGGATTCATATGGTCTACCTGGCCGCACAACAACAGAACAAACTTATACAATTTCCGGTTTGTGCTAATATTGGTGTGCTTTTCACCTCAGATATTCTGTCACAGGCTTGCGAGAAGCACATCCAACCCCGATTTTCTCTTTAGCAATTTCGGTTTTGGAGTATTACACAGCCAATAATGTTATGTCATGTTTCAGTGCATAGCGGTGCTTTCTGCCTAAGACACAGAGCTACAATGTAGGGATCCGATTTCAGTAGTCTTCTTCGATCGAGTCACTTTATTTTCTGATTTTAACCATTTATTTGAGTTAGTGGACCAGGTTTTGCTCCCTATTAGCAGTAGTGCCTTTTATATATTGGAATTAAGCTCAAAAAACATTTCAAAAACACTCATTGCGAATTTTATGAACAATAATTTTCATGTCAGAAACGCATGAAGTAGAATGCGAAGTTTGTCTGAGTCACGTGGGGGGTCTAAGGTGACAAAACCTATTTTTAGTAATAGTAGAAAGCGCTATTGAGGATGGGGCGAGGGAGGGGGGGGCGTTCCGGGGAGCAAAACGCGTAAAAGAGGGGAGGGTCAGACGAGGGTCAGTCAAGACCGTCTTTAATGTAATTGCAAGAGATACACTTTTTACAGCAACGGAAAGGGCTATTAATATTGGTGGTAAGATTTTGAGATCCTCCAATTCTGTCTGTAATCATGTGAGTGATTACCAAAATTGAACGACCGCGTAGCGGGAGTCGGATCTGTTACCGTCACGAGTATGATTACGGACAGTATTGGACGACCTGAATTGCTAGTATCAATTAATAAATTAATCAGACGATGTGAAATTTAGCCTGCGTAGCTGGCGGTTTTATTAGAGCGCACGATGCTATATGAAATTGGAAGACCTGCATTCCTATTATCAATTAACCAAGCGATATGAAATGGGAAAAAAAGGCAGGGATGGGCTCCTGGAAAAATCTATGGAAGCTTCTAAGAAGAAATTAGAATTTCTCGATCTCTCTGTGAGCTTGTTATTTAACACTTTTTTTATGATCGCTTTCTTTTTGTTCATCATGATCATTAGATAATGTGCACCACGATAGAGCTGAATAACGTTCAGGGTCAGCGCAACCTTGTCCCCAGGGCGCTTTTCCCAAAGCCAGGGAAAAGCGCCCTGGGGACGAGGTTGGGGTCAGCGGCGCCAAACGCGGGCGATCGCGTGGGAAACCTGGAGCTAATCGGTCGGCTATTTCAAATAGCCGACGTTTATGTAGCCTGAAATTCATCCGATTGCTTCGAGTCGTTTTCTCCTCTCAACAACTGAGGGAGTAATAACGACTCGAAGTAATCGGATGAAATTCAGGCTAACGTTTATGGGGTTTTCCTGTAACAAAAACAATGCCAATGGTTCAGCTCTGTGTTGAATGGTTAAGAATGTTATTTGCGTTTTAAGACAGCCACGTCGATAATCTTTAAAATTTCGGTTTGAGCAATTTTTCGATCCATCTGTCAGGGACGCCCAACGACAATTTTCGGAAAATATCTGTTCGGAAGACGATTTGAGATCTAGAATTTTCGGAACATTTTTTCCAAAATTTCTGGCTTGTCTGCCTCTCCTAGGATTTTCGAACATCTAGAAATTGGTATAATTGCCCATTTTTAACGGTTTTTTACCTCAAAAAGGTCACCTAGAATTTTCGGGAGCCTTTTTTCTGGCTGAAATTTTCGAAAAGGTAAGTTTTGATTCCTATAATTTCGAATCACTAGACTTTCAGCTAGGAAATCCGAACAGATGAAAAATTTTTAGGGGATAAAAATATGCCTATATCTACCGTTTTAATATTAAAATACGTTTAACAATGCTATGTTCAAGTGGTTTTGAACTATATTCTCGTTGGGTGCCCCTTATCTGTAACAGGGTGAAATTTTCAGTTGACCGAGACTTCACAAACCGTCGGTGAATAATTCACGAGTGACGTAACGAACATGCACAGTGCGTAATTCAGCTCTGTCTGGCACCACAAACTAAGATTATTGGGAACTGTGACATGGTTGGAAAAGCTAAATGATGCCTAGAGCCGCCTCCCTAAACACTAACAATCCTACAATTACATCCTTTTAAATCATTTGAAAAACTATTGTCAGCGGTTTCACAGTTCCAAAAACCCTCACTTTCAAAATGAGGCTAGGTGCACAACCTATCTTGTGAAAATGAGTTTTATTTGCATGAGAATGAAAAATGATTTCCTTATTAAAGGCTGAGCACCTACCCTCGTTTTGAAACAGAGGCCCGGGGGAACTCGGAAATGGCCAGCTCCTGAAATGGCCTATTATAAAGAGAATATTATCAATTCGTTCTGCTTTCCCGCACACCTACGTGCTGTTCATATCTGGTTCTCCTAAAACCGATTTTCACAAGCTGTGCCGTTCTTCGCCTTATGGCTCATGCTCAACAACCTGCCACGGGAGGGCAAGGGCTAACCAGGATGCCATGCTGCTCAAGCAGTTGTAATTGACCACTCCAGAAAATACCATAACATACCATAATGGTCTTTGTTTGTCACCCCAAATTTTGCATATGGTATGTAATGGTATTTCTGGAGTGGTCAATTGTCCCGCAAGTTGAACCGCCACCGGCGGCAGTAACCTGCTCCATTACCGGAGGAGAATTCAAATCCTTCACCCGAACAACTTTCACAGCATGAAAAATCAAATTTACGTGAGCGTAATGACAACGTAAAGTCAGCGTATAGTTGAATTTTACACAACTTTACGCTTCCTTTACTCTACGTAAAGTTCAGCTTTACAGCACCTTTACGCGTACATATAAAGCTGGCGTAATGAAACAAAAACTTTACGCAACACCTTTACGTTTTGCGTAAAGCTTGTGTAAACCCTACTTTAAGCTTGTGTAAAGCGAAAATACAAGCTCCTTTACGCCATATATATATACACATAAACACACTGGAAACTTTAAAAATAAAGGGAAATATAATGGTAATCGGTAAATTTTTCTTACCAAACTTTTAACAATCAAGATTTTATTTTTGTCCATGTCAAATATCTGAATTTTCCACACAAACAATGGATTTTTGTTATGTACTTAATATCGGTTGTTTTCTTTGGTTTCCCATCGTCTCTCCATAGTATTTACAATCTGGAGCCATGGAGGATTACTCATATATACATTACAAATAATTGTATGAGTAATCCTCAATTCAAGTTTCGAAATAAAATAAAATACCCTAATATGTAACAACACTTCAACACACAGTTAAAGGATTAGGCCAGAAATTTTGTTTTTATTCTTCAAAATTGACAACAAAAACGAAAAGTTATAAAGCGTTGAAACCCAATAGACCTATAGAAAAATAAGAACCCAACTTCAAACTGACATTAGTCATCCCTACTATTAAGTTATAACTTGCTTTAATGGAGTTATATTGTTTAACCAGTAGATGAACTTTGAATAAGTAGTAGTTTAAAAAATAGGGCCCCTTTCCGTTTCCAATTTTGCATTACCATAACCAATTTTCAAATTGCCTATCTTTACATTTACATTTCAAATCCCATGAAAATCGCCAGGTATGCTACATTGTTGTAACTGCAAAAAGCTGCAAATACGAATCGCATTCTTTAAGTTTAGTCCCGCAAAGAGTGATATTACAAGGTTTTAAAAAACAAAACACACTGATACTCTAAAACTGAATTTTCTAAATATAACATGATTTATTTCTGTGTTAGCATCTTTGTCATTACATTAAAAATTAAAGAAAACGAAAATTTTTCCAACACGTAAGGTTTAAATAAGAAGACATAGTGTACATAAACTTTTCAAATGGGTCAAAACAGTCTTCTCAAAATATCCAAAAAAATCATCTTAACTTAGTATTACACCAAATAAAGATGATTTATAGTTTAAAATAATTATTAGCATTTACATGTAAGGTACAGGGTGTACAAGAAAACTGATGAAGTTAAATTTTGATAAAAAACAGCAACTCTAACACTCAAATTAATGTAAAGGTGGGTCAAAATGGTCTCTTCCAAAATGAAAATATTTAGTATAATTTAGCATAATTCAAATTAAAAGCTTAAACAATTTTAGATAAAGACTGAAAGCCTAATACATGTATAACATTGATGGTTTCTTGATTTAGCCCTTTCACTCCCAGAAGTGTTTACAGTCAAATTTAACAACAAAATCCAAATAACAAATCATTTTCATAAACTGATGATGTAAAAGTTAGATGCACAAGGCTGT